CTTCCAATTATCGTGTAGATGATTGTGATTGGTTAATTGCCGGGAAGTCAAATGTATAGCGAATGTGAGCAGACGTTAGGTGAGGCCTCGGCCACTAACAACGTCTGCGCAGGAGGCTAAAGTCCGATCACCTAATATTGTTTCAGTGGGGCCTTTAGCTTTTCCTTAAGTTCAAAAATTCTACCAATCAATCACAAATAGACTATATTTAAAAATAATTTAGTACTCTTCACATCCGGGCCAATGTCCAGTCGTATAGTGACTGTCGTACAAAATGTTTGGTTTATAATTTGCGTTGCCAACACGACTGACCACGAAGCGATGCTTAAAACCAGGAGCTGGGCACACAACATGTACAGACCTATCATTCATCAACTTGGGCGGAGAGGCATCAAAAGTTAAAGTTTATTACCTCGAGAAGACAGATGGCAACTCAATTTCACAGCCGAACGCCGGTAAGTTTTAGAATATGTACAGCAATAACAGGTCGTTGTATTACTTTCATGTGCTGTGATGTGCAGTGTATGGCTCGTACAGTCATCAGGGAACGAAGCGACATAGTCATAACCTCCATGACCATGTACATTGGCACTGGCCAGACTACTGAGTTCAATTCTAAAGTAGTAAAGAATAAAACTATATAAATTTTCTTTAAATGACTACATATATAATAAAATCATATATATACTTGTTGTGTTCATGATTTAATATAGTAGGCTTGATTGAGAAATACCCGTAACAATAATACGCGTCGGTATCCATGCATGTCAACGGCGTTTTGTTGAAAAAACGTTCCGGGTAAATATTGCAGTATAAATTTTTAATGTTACCAAGCCATGCAGGGCAAGGTTAATTGCGATATGTTTGTGTTAAGTATTATGTTCTGTTCAATTTCATGTTTATGCATTATGGCGACCCCATGCACTGCACACAATAGCAACCTTCATCCTTTCTTTCCCTGATTCTCTTTGAAACTCAGGACCACGTTCCATCTGATGGGCTATGCTATATATTACGTAATCACTGTAAAAGATAGGAGGACTGTTCTAAAATTGAGTGCAAATATTAATAACGACTAATACTTTATATTCCACTCTATCTCTGTTTTATTTAGCAAGAATTTTCCAATGGTACATATTGTTTAAGATCACGAAAACGAAAGTGTCCCAATGAAGAGCAAAAGGTAAAACATTAGTCATTATTTTGCTTTAAATCCTGAAATATCATGCATGTGTATATAATTTTATCACATACAATAAAATATAGAAAACCTTGAAATTCAGCTAGATAATCTGTATACTATAATGTCTCGATCGTTTCGTTTCACCGTGAACTGATTATAGTCCGCAATATATTGCATACGTAGTTTACATGCATGCATACAGGCAATTGTGACAAAAGTTAATTGTTTCATTGAGATTGCTTATATTAATTATTGTGTGCAAATTAGTGTCATATATCTAAACCTAATTTCTTGCATTAATTTCAAGTCGTATATTAAACCATTTTAGGTAAACCAAGCAGGTTATTCCTGTTTTAGGTCTTTTTAGGTTATTTGGTTCTTCTTAACATGCAGTATCATTTCATTACCTGAGTTACAATTAATATGACATTTTTCTTCAGAATGCAACCCCATCAGGTGATCGGTATTTGTCGCATTTGCCCAAAGACGTAGAGGTAAATAAACTTTTGATTAGTTATTTTTGGACATTCGTAATCATAGGGCATGACCGTACCATGCAGACAATTTTTGTACAGGCGTTCTTTTATCATTATATGTTAATATAGGCTGAAAGCGAATATGGTTTTGATATTGAAGACAACTATTGCTCTCCGGAACAACAGCTCAAGGATATACAAGAACAACTAAATTCGAAAGAATACATCGACGCAATGACATCTCTGAAGGCTGAAATGGAAAAAGAATGTCCTGAACTATTTACAAAATAATAGCTTGCGATATCATTGTATATTTTAGCCTATTTTGCACTGCCATTACAATACATCCCAACGACGCACTTGGCTGACGTGTCGTGCACGAATATTGGTCGTCTTAGACTATGAAGCACTTAGTGAAGAACTCCAGTTGCATGGCACTGTAATGACCAATGGAGGTGTTTTCCTGGGCAGCTTTATGCTTGCTCTTATTTTATTTCAAAAATGTGAAAAGAGGTATAGTCAACACTCCCACCGACAGGGAATGTTAATGTTGACAGGGTGGGTTGGGATTATCACCCTAACTGACCCTTTCACGACATGCATGAGTCATAAGGTGGCTGCCAGAGGCGTTCTTAGAAAACCTTCGACTGGATCAGGTTGAGCTGCGTATTTCGTAATTCAGCTTAGCTCTCAGCTACAAATAAAGATGATTAACACCCTCCACTTACTTACACATGCATGAAGATTTTTTTATTTATATTTAATATTCAATTTATATAATATTATTTATACCTATTTTATTATTTCATTTTTGTTGTGCGAAAAAGTGGAGTTTGATTTATTGTAAAGTAACCGCTATTACATTCTGTATACTTTTTTATACATTGATCATTGCCATTGGCTGCGTTTGTAAATAATCTTTATTCAACGATGTTAAAATAATATGCATTAATTATTATTATTATTATTACATAAATATAAGCGTTATATAGAATTTTTTAGGCCACTGAGAAGAATCGTATTTAAACACACGTAAAAATACGATATTTTTACGTGTGAAAACATCATTTGTTGTAAAACGCATTGCCACGGACGTTTTTCACTGAATTTTGTTTATATCATAAACGAAAAATACATGGGTGTTTGGAAATACCAGATTTATTTCTCGTGTTGAACATGATATCTCACTCGTTCGCTGCGCTCACTCGTCTGTTCAACACTCGAAATAAATCTGGTACTTCCGCGCACCCATGTATTATTCTCTATATATTAACTATATTATACATATTATACAGTATAAAATTATAATTGCAAAAGCTAACTGTATTTATAAAGTTTAATAATGTCGCTTGTAATATACTTGATACATTTTTACATATTCACTTCAAATGTTTAAATCTGCTTTTTTAAAAATTATTTCTTGGGCAATAATATTTTCAACTAAAGTGTTGAAATGTTGGACCGTGAATGTATTTTTTCACGTTTAAAATTAACCTGGGGCCGGTTGCTCAAAGCAGGGTTATAGCTTAGCTTAACCCTAGGTTAACCTCAAATTCAAAGCAAACTTCCTGATATAGCTTGTCTTAAAATTTGGAAATATTTCTTCAGAGATCTTGTCTGGATCGACAGGAGTTTACTTTTCTGAAGATTTGAAATAAACAAACGTGCAGAAATACACAAACTAAACTATAGCTGGTTAAATTTTAACCCAGGGTTAGCGCTAACCCAAAAATATATTCCCCGATACGTAGGCCCGCTATATACATCCGGGGAAAGGAAAGCATTAGCGATTTTTAGCAAACTCTACAGTTCATCAGTGATCGCGGGCATGGGTCATTATGTTTCATGGGGTGGACCTCCAACTAATCTCAAAAGTATGGCGAATTTTAGGAGTGGATCAATGGAATGCAGTGGGGGTTGAAAACAAACATCAATGAGAAACCCGAAAAAGTCGTTTAATGGGACGAGCAGCGAAACAGTTTAATTTATTTTTGCTTCACAACAAAAGACCAGGGGCAATAAATAATTTACCATGACAATCACTTCAAATACTTTATGTACTATTTAAAGCACGAGTAGGAGTGTTTTATCACATATAAAACACGACGCGTAGCGGAGTGTTTTATATGTGATAAAACACGACTATACAAGTGCTTTAAATGGCTTAAAAAGCGACTCATCTTATACAAGTTCATTGGCGAAGTAATTTTTAAAATAAACTTTGTCTAAACCGAGAAAATCAAAGCTAAAGTTTATGTAAATTAACATGATTTTTTATCA